GTGGTGGTCGCTAGTAATAATTGTGAAGATTAATTATTGTTCCTTACTAGTGGAAGGCTGAGGTGTAATGGGAGCGGATATTGCAGATTGGCTCATCCTAGTGGAAGTCTGAGATTCAATTTTTTTTTTATTTATAGGCTGAAGTACGGGAAAGAGTAGGGGTGAATGTTTAGTTGACAATAACCGCACGTCTCGCGTTTCCTTCCAAAGAAGAACGACTATGCCATGTTGATCCTCTCTTGATACAATTTCTCCTCTCCTTATTTTGGAATGACTTATCTCTCTAGGTATTTTCTTTCTCTTTGACCTCAACGTTCCAACAACATGTGTCTTCTGTTCCAACAGAGACCGGGCTAGCTCGTAGCTAGTGTAGAAATTATCTATGTAGAGCGTCGTACCTTGATTTTGAAGGTCTTTAGCTAGTAACATGCAAACATTATGTGCTAGCCCTGTTTCTCGAATTCCGGTAGAAGATTTCCCTCCGTAGATTTTGATCGACTAGGTGTATCCATCCACCAACTGAACAAAGTTTAAATAAGTTGATGCCGTAGTGGTGGGCTTTATTCGGGATATATTGCCTAAACACTAATCGGCCCCTCTATGGAACAAGGGTTTCATCTATCACAATATCTTGATCAGGACAGAACAAGTCTTGAAACTTTCGTTGAAGAATGCTGACCAAAGGTTGAATTTTGGCAAGTCGATCACTTGCAGTAACACTCTCATTATCATTGAAATGTAGCATGGACAGTAATAATTGGTATCTATTTCGAGACATGACAGCTGTGGGGATATTGTTCTGAAAGATTCCTTACTTTGCCCAATAATTAGGTAAATAACTGATTCTCACAAGTCCCATCCACATCGACAATTCTAGAAATTTCTTAATCTCTTCTTTATTTGTATCCTTCCATTTGGTTATTCTGGCAGACTTTTTTTTTTCTTTTTGAACTCGCTATAGTCTGTTGCGCAAATCTATTAGTCTCTGTCACTATGTAATCCAGGACTTCATCATCTAAGATTTCTAGAAAGACGTCCAGAGGTGATATGTTCTGGAATTTCTTTTCGCACACCATGACGTCCTACGAATTCGAAATATTTCTGACGTCCTTCAGATTTTGTCCAGATACTCTCATACTGTCCATCTTTTTCAATTTCTCCTTCTATTACATTTACTGCTGCTATTCTTCCCTCCTTTTCCTCCTCCTGTTTTTCCTCATCTTCTTCTTCTGCCCTTAGATTCTCTAATAGTTCACTGACATCTTGATCACTTTCACCTCCTGCGATACGATCGGGATCTCATCAAAATCTTCCCATAGGGGATCTGCTATTGAATCGTCCGAACTAACACCCCCTTCATTGTCATCCAAATCTAGTTCTCCGATTATTTTTTCTAATTCTTTCTCGCTTAGTGCTTTTTGTCGTTTACTCATTTTGGTTTCTTATTCTATGTTTTGAAAAAAACGAAGAATCTTAAATTTTCGGCGTTATTTTATTGCTTGGTCACTATTGATTCGCGGATGAATCTAGAACCAGCTTCTCCAATAAAGCCAAAAAAGTAAGATTCTTCTCTTCTGTTCTCTAAAATTCTTTAATTCTTCATGTTCTTTTTCCTTCTTTCTTCATGCTTTTCTCTCAGTAAATCTGTAAAAAACAAAATCAATAGGAAAATAAAATATCTAATGTCACCCAAATATGGGTGACATGGCCCTGGACGGTAAAAATCTAGAAAATATTACCGGCAGGCCACGTCAACCATATAAGGGTGACACGTCAAAAACCTCTTTTGACAGTTGAATCACACAAAAAATATCAAAAAATGCCTTAAGGTAACTTATTTTAAAAGTCAAACTCAAAAAATCTAAAAACAAATGTGGCCCCCTGGGTAACTTACCCAAAATGGCCGTGGCACTCAATGTGTGAATGAAGGTTCTGACTCTGTCGCCCATATCTATATTTTCATAACAGTGACAAAGAGACAGAGCAATCGTTCTCATGAGAACGCTGTTCCCCGGTTTCGAGAATAGACACACTAAAGGGCAGTTACGCGAAAGGTATACGATAGAGAAATTACACGTCGTGAGATGGAAAAGCTTTATATTGGGTAAAAATTTTTGATCCTATCTCCTATCAGGTTTTTTTTGAGATACCTACGTCACTTTGTGAAATTAACGACGAGTGTTACTACTATAATGTGTTTTGATAATTTAAATATACCTATTCTTTGAAAATTTTAGGATTTATTTCTATCCTTGGCGGTAAATGGTTTAAACCACCTTCAAAGTAATTTGCAGGTCAAGTGAGGTTCCTCGAAAGGTGTCTATTGGTACTGCTTATAATTTCCAGTACTGTTTGTGCCCGAGACTAGGGTGGAAATGTCGATATTTTCCCAAAAACCCTTTTTTCGATGAATCGCAATTATTAGTTTTACCCCCTTAAACCAACTCCAAAGTAATTTTCAAGTCAAGTGAGGTTCCCCAAACGATGTATTTTGGTACTGCCTATAATTTCTAGTACTGTTCGTGCCCGAAACTAGGGTGGAAATGTCCATATTTTCACAAAAACCCTTTTCACGATGAATCGCATTTATGAGTTTTACTTCTTCTTATAGCCAGGGGGCTGGCGTCAAAATTTCATGGGTCATTTCAGCATAATTTTTTTTCATTCTGTACGGTAGCTTTTATTTAATAAATAAGTAACCCTACTGTCAGCTGGCACACCCCTGTGGAGACCCCGAAACTAGTAAAAAATAAATAAAAAATCGGGTCTTTTTAGCAAAGCTGGAAATTTGACATTTTATTTTTATGATGATTCCATGAAAAAAAAAATGTGTCAGCTTCCTGTGGTGGGGGGTAAAACTTGTCAGCTGCGCATGAGAACAGGCATGAATGTTGGAAAAAAATCTACCTACAGTAGAAAAGTGACAATAGAGGTCCCGCCGCCATACTCTTGCTAATTTTCAATCAGAATCTAGAAACCCCACGCCCCCGCCGCCATATTCTTCCTCATTTGCAATATGAATATATAAAATTTTAGAGAACCATTCACTATGGTATATTGAGTCACTGTAGTTCGTCTTGGCTCAAGCCATAGAACACACCATTACCCCCCACCCACTTGTTTTGCACTAGCCAGTCACCACTTTATTCTATACGTTATTCTTGAATAGTAAGAACGTACGAAAATGTCGAAACCTCTTTGTGTCATTTGTTTAAAAGGTTCAGGTTTGGGATTCTGTAACGACTAACGAATGGCGATATTTTCGCTATCTCTATTGAAGTCCCCTCTCTATTGATTTCGAAAAGAGAGAAGAAGACAGCAAGTGCCATAGCGATATCGATAACGATCTCTATCCATTACAGAATTCCGCCTCAGGAACGCTTTCGCCATTCACAGACATTCCTTTAAATAAGTGCAAAGGTGTTTTGGTAGTTCGTCAGAAATATACTTTAATTCTCAAAGATATTGATTTACCAGAAACGATACAAAACCACGTGTACAGGGTGATCTATTATAAATGTCACCCCCTTTTAACTTTTTCATTTGACATTTTTGACAAAAGTGTCAAATACAAAAGTTTCAAGAAATTATCGAAAGTTTTTAACTAAGTCAGTTTTAGGCATTCAGGATGCGTCAAAAAAGTGCAGCAGTGTGAAGTTATATTTTTTCAAATGGAACACGCTGTATATTGTACGCCCTTTTGTTAGTCCCTTTCAACCTGATTTCAACGATATACGGTTTGATATGTCTATCTTTAATAGTTATAGGGAAAAACATGAAAATCCTTTTCAAGGTTTCTTATTGAAGAAAGAAAAATTATACCATTTAAGCTTTAGAGATTTTTTTTTCATAAACAGTTTTTTGTTCAAATTTTATTCATTAATATACAAGGTGAAATATTATAATAAATCCAGATGTCTAAGTTATTATTATTTAAAAAAAAATAACATGAGAGACCTAGGAAGGGATTTTCGCGTTTTTCCCTATTACTATTGGAGATAAACCGAGAGATAAATATATCCAACCGTATATGGTTGAAATTAGGTTGAAAGGGACTAACAAATAAGCATACAATAAATAGGGTGTTCCATTTAAAAAAATATAACTTGATACTGCTGCACTTTTTTGACGCACCCTGTATGCCTAAAAATGACTTAGTTAAAAACTTTTGACAATTTCTTAAAACTTTTGTATTTGACACTTCTATCAAAAACGTCAAATGAAAAAGTTAGCAGGGGGTGACATTTATAATGGATCACCCTGTACCATCGTGTGTGCTATCAACGTTTCACAGCTTTGCCGCCAAAATATAGAGCGTCGGTCAGCTTGCCAAGGTACCTACTTAGTTATACTTAGTTATTAACGTTATAAGGTCGGTAAATAGCAAATAACGGCCAGGCTGAAGTTTGTGTTAGCTCAAGACTGTTATTTGAAGTTACCGGCCGTGTTTTGTTCTGGATTTTTCGTCACACTGCAGATTTTAAGATTTTTTCAATCTGACAAAAACTAACACACCCCTATAATGTTTGAAAATAACGACCGGCGGCGTTATTTATATTTTCACGGCCGGCGGCGGTTTTTGAATATACCTTTTCAATTTCCCTCATGCTTAAGTGGGATAACAGTACAGTATGACGAACTAGTATTTTACATTAGCCAGTCAAAAACTGTTATTTTCATACCGTAATTTATTATATAAATAATTTTCAGCTTTGCTGAAATTATCCGACTTTTTCCGACATTCATGCATGTTTTCATGCGCAGCTGACAAGTTTTGCCCCCCACCACAGGAAGCTGACACATTTCTTTTTTCATGGAATCATCATAAAAATAAAATGTCAAATTTCCAGCTTTGCTAAAAAGACCCGATTTTTTATTTTTTTTTACAAGTTTCGAGGTCTCTTACTACCCTTTCGCCACGGGGGTGAGCCAGCTGACAGTAGGGTGACTTATTTATTAAGTAAAAACTACCTTACAGAATGAAAAAAAATTATGCTGAAATGACCCATGAAATTTTGACGCCAGCCCCCTGGCTATTAGTTCTGAAATGTTTTATTGCAATTTCATCAAATTGTTCGACGTTGACCAAACATAACAAATCTACCTGATTCTATCAATTTGTAGGCTCAAAATACTATTTTCAGGAACATATCCTAAATTATCCCGATCCCAACTTAGTCATGCTCCAAAGAGGTACCGAAACCTGGTTCGTTGTAGCCACTCAGAAACCATTGGGAGACCTTAAACACATCGAAATTTGGTTTGATTCTATTGGAAATAATGAAAAATGGTACCTATATAGCATTACTATTATCCAATGCTTTCTGCTATTTCAATATCACAGGTTTTGTTCAAAAATTGATATCCACGATATCCAAAACGAAGAATCTTGGTCGTTTGTGTTGGAAAAATGGTTTGACGTCACAAAAGAAGACCATAATATGTTCATTATCAAACCGACAGAGAAAATAAAAGAAAATACTAAGGAGAAACGAAAATTTGGAATTTTAAGTGCAATTAAAAGTTTTTTAGGTAACACTAAGGAAGAAGTAAATCTATGGAATTTATTGTAAGATCAAATTAGTTAAATTTGTTAGACAGTTTACACTTTTATTGTAGCTCCACTGATCCCTTGCTAACCAAAAAAGAAAGAATTTCTCTTATATTTTCTATCCTTTTACTGATGTATTTTTTCATCATGATACTTTATGCAATTCCATGCTTCGATGAAAGTGACGTCATTGATCCAAATCGATTTGGTCTTCATCAAAAACTAACTTGGACCCCAATAGCTGGTAGTACTGCGGCTTTTTTGATGCATATTCCTTTCATTTATTTAATTAAAAGAGGAAAATTTCGAAGCCTCGATGTTTATAAATTGAAAGTGTTTTCTTTCATCAAATTAACGTCGAATTTGTGTTGGTAAGAATACAGGCCAGTACAGGGACTTTTATATTATAGTAATAATTTATTTGAATTTTAGGATTGTAATAAGCTCGAATTGCCTAACTGCAGCTACTATGTTAATTATTTGTGGATTTTGGATTCCAATGGACACGAGTCTTTTATGGCTGGTATCTGTAATATTAGCAATATTCTTTCAAATTTTTGTTCTTCAAACTATTTTATGTATTGCCCTTAGTCATTTTTTCAGATTGTCTGTGCAGGTGAGAATATTGAAATTATGAACGAATAAAAGTTGCTTTAGGTACATCATGATTTAAGGTGCAATCTTTTTCAAAGGGCATCATTGATTATGTTGATCTTCAAAGAACTTGGATATACAAACGATTTGGTGCTGTGGGACTAAGACCATATGTGAATCATTTATATTTTAGTTTGGATCCCATAACGTTAAAGGTACATACAATCTTTGTTTTGTTAGAAGCCTATCGGTAAATTGTTATTATTTTCACCAGGAAAGAATTAAATGGGCAGAAACAAAAATGAAAATTAAAGAACTTCTAGAAGATTTACTTATGATTTCTTTATATGTCGCTATGTTGTATGTCGTATTGATGATTGATAAAGAACCAGAAGCTATCAATAGTAATAGCGAAATTAAAAGATTAGTCTTTGGCAATGTTATTGATAATGAGATGACCGTGAAGACTGTTAAGGAGTAGGAATAAGTTATTTATGTACCAAGGGCGCAAACGCCATTTGCGCCTGTGGTACATACAAAGTTTTATGTACGACCGAGAGTAACCTTTTTCATTCAAATATTTGAAAATAAAATATTAAATAAATAGAGAACGCACCCCCCCCTTTTAAGTGAAATAATGAACATAACTGATGGTAATTCGTAAATGAGCAGTAGAAACTGCAGTTACCATCCAAAAAAACAATCATTTTGGCTCGTTTTTGAAGGGTGAAAATAACCATTTTGTTCAAATGTTGATACCTACACCAACCTACATCATGGTGGCAAATTGCGTCCGCAAGTAGGTACTTCGCAGCCCGGTCGTACCTACATAAAATATTACGATCATGTTATGTACTCGCTAATATAAATTATTGTCATTTTAGCATAGAAACTTATACAGGCAAAGTACTGCTTCCGTCATTCCAATCAATGCATTGGTATGGCAATTTTGTCCAGAACAATCCAGGGATGACCAAAGATTTTTCAAATAAATATCTAGGTTTCCATGCAAAAAATAATTTTCAATAATCAAATTCTAATTCTTTCTATTCCAGGTGTTGTACGTATTAGACAACAAAGAACAAAAGATGTTCAATGCGAACACCCTGAAATAATGAATTTTTTGAACATGACTTGCCGGCCGGACCTCACTGATGTACGAGAAACTGGAAATTTTGCCCGAGGGTGGAAGCCCGAAACTGAACTTTCAAATATTACTACAGAACGTATGGCCAAGGTTTGGAAACACGTTACAGCAAATATTGATGATGCACCATCTTTTTTTGGTGAGTACCTACTTATTTCATATAGTCCTGGACTAGCACTAGAACACAACTCAATAGATTATTAGATCTTAAATCTATAATCTTTATTTTGCTGTATTGATTTCTGATTTAACCATTAGGCGAATACGATGTCTATACAGCAGGCGGTTACATAGCCCCTTTAGGAAGAAATTATAAAAACTCCCTTATCAATCTCGAGTACCTCAAAAAGCACAAATGGCTTGATTCGCGAACTCGAGCTGTTTTCATTGAATTTCTAACTTACAATCCAAATGTTAACGTTTTCAACAGCGTTACAGTGGCGTTTGAAATAACATGTACTGGACACGTTGCAAGTAGCCTAAAGGTAACTTGTTCTCAAAAATTCACAAAGACACCTAAAATTATTTTTTCAGCTACAAACTAGGAAGTTCCTTGTTGTTAATCGGGATACGTTGTTAACAAGAAATGTACTCTACGTGTGTTATTTAATAATGCTTTCTGCTCTTTTGATTAGGATATTGTTTAAAGTTATCATGAAGAAAAGTAGATACTTTTTATACGATGTTTGGCAAATTTTTGATATCCTCATTGGTAATAATTTGGTTACAAATGTAACATTTTGATAAAACTTATTTTTAGGATTATTGAGTGGCTTAGCAATTTGGTTCTATTACGCCAGATCCCAACAAATGTTGGCCTACATAACAGAAATATCTGATGCAAAAAATAACGAATTTGTTAATTACTTCCAATTGTTTAGAGCCGACAGTATTTTGACATTTTTCACTGCCTTTCTAGTATTTGTGGGCACTCTACGCCTTTGGAAATTGCTAAGGTAAGTTTATGAAATCGTTTACTACAACTGTCGTGTAATGAATAATAGAATTTCACATAATATAAGTTCCGAATTCTCATAATGACTATTATTAATGCATTAGTGCATGAATGACTTTGTATAGACAATACAATAAACAAACAAACAAAACAAACAAACAAAAGAGAGGAACAAGAACAAAAACAAAGAGAAGTAATTTCAACGATCTTATTATGCGGAGTCAGCATTCTCATGGTGGTGCCGTTGGTAATGCTCAATTTGTTGAAAAAACTTCTTGCAAATTTAGGGCCCAATTACAGTATATTTGCATCTGCAAATTTGCAGTTCTGCAAATATGGCTGACTTGCATATGTGCTCTATTTGCAGGAACGAGCAAATTGTAGAAAGAATCTGCAATTCCGTCATATTTATCGAAAAAAAGTATTTGGGCGCTACTGATTTACCAGTTTTAAATGTCAAAATTGTCAAAGTGATTACAAGGACTTACGGGACCGTTACTCCACGTGCAAATTTGCAGGCGACTTGCAAATGCATTCTGCTTCTGTAATACGAAAAGTCAGACTTGCAGGTGCTGCATTTGTATCTTGGTGTCGCAGAGCTTCTGTAATTTCGGGTTTAGTGGCTTGATGGTACGTTGCGTCATCTGATAGACACATGGCTACTGCTCTGCAAAATGAGGTGATATATTTGCACCTATACATAACAACTCCTCCCGTGAAGAGTTATCCTTCTTGTCAACATTGGTTTGCAGCAAGTTTCCAACTATATATGGATTTACTGCAACTCAACTTCTTTATCGAATGAGCCAACAGCACGAATGCTTGGCGCCCCTCTGAAGAAGAAGATGTTCTCATAATCTAGATAGATTAATAGGCTAAGAAATCAGGTTGTTTTGTCTTGTAAAAGCTTTCTGAGTGGTTTGGCTATTTTTCGGAAATATCAAAAGAAACGGCGATATTTCTGGCAAGCGCCAGGAATAATTTCTGGTTCAATTATGTCATCCATATAGACCTGCAACCTTTCCTTTTCAATACATATCTTCTTCTCCTTCTTCTAGCCTATTTTCGTCCACTGTTGGACATAGGCCTCTTCCATCAGTTCCTGTCTTGGCCCGCCATTCAATCCTTTGAATTTCATCACGCCACCTTGTTTGCGGTCTTCCAATGTTTCTTTTCGACTCTCGTAACCTCTATTACAGCACTTGCATGTGTCATAGTGACTATCTTGAAACCATAGGTCGCTACTGGTAAAATACATGAGTTGTAGATCTTACATTTTAGACTAATCGGGACATCCGGGTTTTTAGGAATATAACTCAATTTTGAAGAAGCTACTCCTGTAAGACTCGATCGGCGATTTATTTCAGCAGTTTGATTGTCTTGCCGAGCTTAATGATATTGCCGAGATATTTATATTCGTTCACCACTTCGAGACTCTGATTTTCAATAGTTACGTCGACATTGTCTGTGTTCATTATTTAAGTTTTCCGGATATTTATTGTCAGTCCTACTGCTTTGGATGTTTTTTGTAGTTCCTTTATCATGCTGGATACTTCCTCTGAGTCATTACTGATGGTCACGATTACCTCTGCAAATCTCAGATGGTTCAAGTGTTTTCCGTCAATTGAGATACCCTTTTTCTGCCATGGTCACTTTTTAAATATTTCCTCTAGGGCCAGTGTAAACAGCTTAGGGGAGATCGTGTCACTCTGTCTGACTCCTCTATTTATTAAAATTTTCTCAGTGGTCAGTACATCGGCGATCTTTACTCGCATTTTGGCATTTTCATGTGCATGATCCTCGTATTATGCGTAGCATCTAAAACTGCACATGTCTCAACATAATCAAACGCCTTGTGATAATCGACAGGAGCCAGATGTGTAAAGGAATGTTGTTTTCTGTACACTTCTCAATGACGGTTAGCATACTCTGTATGTGATCAATCGTCCTGAAGCCTTTCCGAAAACCTGCTACCTGCTTGTTCAACTGGCTGGTAGATAGAAATAAAACGTAGCATTTAATCTATTTGTAAGTATATTTTCGTCAGGAGCTTATACAGGGTGTCCGGTAAGTATATGGCATACTCTCGGATGCGTATAGGGGGGGTCAAAATAACTCTAATTTGTTATAAAAAAAAATCCTAAAGTGCCCCTTAACGGAGATACAGAGCCCCAAAAGAGTACTTGGCGATCCACATTTTTGGCTCTAACTTTTGAACCGACTTGTATAATTCAATGATGTTTTGATATTTTATGTTGGCCGTAAAGACTCATAAAATCATCCTACAGTAGATGTTTCACATATTCTGGGAAGTCAGGAACGGAGTTGCCACCACATTCATTGTGCCAAATTTTTGACAGGAATCATTTTACAAAGCTGAAAACTGATTTTTCAAATACTTTGGTCATTTCTCTTCAAAAAAGGTGCTCTGCATTTGTTTCGATTAAATCAGTCGTTTCCGAAAAAAATAGGTTTTTGCATAACACGTTTAATCATTTACCTTCAAAATTTATTTAATAATCAAGTTGATCCTAGATTTAAAAAAAAACAAGTAGAAGTTGACTTTAAAAAGTACCTGAAACCGAACCTTTTTGCCATGAAAAGTTAGTTTATATGAGTCAACTTCTACCTGGTTTTCTTAATCTAGAATCAACTTGATTATTGTATAAATTTCGAAGGTAAATGATTAAACGTGTTATACAAAAACCTATTTTTTTCGAGAGTACCTTTTTTGAAGAGAAATGACCAAAGTGTTTAAAAAATCAATTTTCAGCTCTGTAAAATGATTCCTGTAAAAAATTTGGCACAAAGAATATGGTGGCAAGTCCGTTCCTGACTTCCCAGACTTTGTGAAATATCTACTGTAGGATGATTTTATGAGTCTTTATGTCCAACATAAAATATGAAAACTTCATTAAATTATACAAGTCGGTTCAAAAGTTAGAGACAAAAATGTGAATCGCCAAGTGGGTACTATTTTGGGGCTCTGTATCTTCGTTAAGGGAATTTTTTCTTCTAGACATTTATTTATTATAATGAGGATGGCTTGTCCCAATGTCTTCGCTCCGATTTTATGCATCTCGCTCGTAATTCCACCTTCTTCTGGAGCTTTTCCGTTCTTCATCTGCTCTATTGCGGTTCTTAACTCACTTGTACATATTTTAGGTATTTCTTCGGATCCAACATTCAACATTTATGACGGGCCGACAGGGTGTACGTGTCTTCTTATCTCGGCTATTGGTGGTTCTATAGTTTGATTATATTTTCATATACAAGATTTCCTTGGTCATTTCTTAATTTCTGGATTAGGAGTTTTCCTATGTTTTTTTAGATTTAAGCACCTTCATGTACATGTTATTTTCGATCAGTTTTTAAATTTGTCGAGTGTGGTATCTTCTTAGGTCTTTCCTGATTTCTTAATTGACCCTTTTTTTAGTCCCTCATGTTGGATATTCTTTATCTGTTTTTCTACGTAGCTCAATGAGGATATTGGTTTTTTTACTAATTGTTGTGTCTATTTTTATTCCATAGCAAACAGCCTTTTTTGCTGTTTGAATAGTAGGTACCTACGGACCGTTTCACAAGGGTTCATACCATAGAGAAATATAATAAACCAAGGTAAGAGTACCTGATTGATAACATGAAAGTTTGTATAGCGCTGACGTCACAGCGACGGTGGCGTCAATAGTGGCAGCCGGAACAAATACTGAAATGGCGGGAATTTTGAAATTTGACTTGAGTTGATTGCACAAAAAACTTACTTATGTTGTTCCACATCTTTTTTTCTCAAATCCGAATGAGAAAAATGATGTGGTACTCCATAAAGTTTTGTGCCATTTTTTGATGTAGATTGAAAAAAAAGGCAAAATAAACACTAAAATTGTACTAGAAAAAATATATATTATAGCTAGATAGGTCAAATACCTAAAGAGTTTACAAACCGAGTTATTACATCCCTTATACATGCTTTAATGTATGTACAAGCTAAGCTGGCCAAGGCCTAACATCTACATTTTCTCTCTTTTGACTGAGGTCTCCTAAAACAGTAAAAAAATATGCTGTATATCACAAAACTAACATGTATACTTACTGGTTCAGTTTATCCTAGTTGTACATAATATTATAGGTACGCGATACCGAGTGCCTTAATAAAAATAACAATTTCTTCTTCTTGTTCTTTAGATTTTGTGAGTTCGAGTCTTCTTAGACGACCGCCCAATCGGTTAAAAATGACAAATTTCAAAACGGAAATGTCGTTATTTTAAGGTTACTTATTTGTTTTCTCGGTCACAGTTTCTATAGTTATGGATGTTTGATAGGTTTCTACAAAACAGCTAGGAAAGCTCTGTAACTCAGCTCATACGGTGTCCTTGTCTTGTGAATTGGTATGACAGAGAAAGATGAAACAGAATCGAATGATCGGACTGATCTTTCGTAAGTCTCTAGCTTTCCATAAATTCCGCAATGCGCTATGCGCAACCGGATGCGCAGTAATAGTATAACCTATTTCGGCAATACTTTTGAAGGTCTTTTTATTTTTTATTGTCTATGGTTCATACTTTTGATATCGAACATGTCATAGCTTGAAAAAAAAGGGTTGTCGTAGACAATGAACTATAACAAAAAACTGGAATGCGAACACATAAGGACGAACGTGAAGCCTAGTGCGGTTGCTGCGGAGGGGACACCTGTTTTTGTCGCACTCATTGTGTTAAATGGCGAAAATTGCTTCCAACACGTATTCCAATTGATGAAACCTGTGAAGGGAAATATGACAAAACTTTCGAAAACGTCATATGTCAGCGAGCAACAGAAGAAAACAACATTCCCCCTTGTGGCATCTGTCTTTCATGGCTTCATTTTTTTGGCAGATATGGCAATGTGTGCGCATTCCAGTTTTTAGCTATAGTTCATTGGTCGTAGCTTAATTCATATGACACATTCAATTTTTTTGACAAATTAAAATGAATGACTTCTGGTTTAAGAACCGATGAACGTTTTTGATTTGTTCCAGTCAATTTCTATTTGTTAAAAAAGGAAGGCAAAAAGTATGAACCCTCATGAAACAAAGTTTACCTGTTATTTTCTTTGAGATCTTCTAGGTTTTCTGTCTGTATTATAGTATTTGTAATACCCATTTAGAATAACCCCATCCTTATTTATCAATCACGAATCAGATGAAACAAAAAATTACCAACAAAAATGAACGTCGATTGCTTATACGTCAATTTCATGTACAAATAGGAAATTCCTAACCTAATTTTATTTGTGTGTCAAGAAGCGACATACGTTTTGTAACTAGAACAACTGGTACTTCTAAATAGGTATTAAAAATACTTTATATTCTTCTCTCTTATCGGTGAACTCTATTATCGATCGACGTATGCTCTTTTCAATTCGCCTTTTGCTTTCCAGTTGAGTGTTGATTCTGAATTTGGCTCTAACCAGTCGGCGGTCACTGCTTGTGTAAATGTGGTTGAAACAAGATATTTTCCATGACCCGCTAGAAGGTAGACGAGCCGTTTTTAGAACCAAATGGCATACGAACAAATTCGATATGTGTCATTTTTCAAGGCGGTCTTTAAAATATTCGTTCGATCTATTTTGATCTGGTGAAATCCAGACGCAAGACAGAGGGTCGAGAAATACTGAGATTTTCCTAGTTGATGTAAAAGATCTTAGATGTTAAGAAGTAATGGAAGTATATATTTATCGTCGATCGTCAGCTCATTTAATTTTCTGTAGTGCCACATGCCATTTCTGCTTTCCAGAGGCATGAAACTTCATGGGTAGGTACCACCCAAACTGCAGAAGACAATGGCCACGTTCACCAGATACAAACGTTGGTAAACGGTTTGCGATTGTTCTGCTGAACGCTACGTTGAATTCATGTTGACACCAAACATGTTTTGCAAACGGTCACCATTTTTGCAAGCATAATTTGAGAGTGTTTATAATTTTCAACGCTGTGTTTTGTGTGGTGACCTGTCATTCAGAGGGTGACGTTCTATCATTGAAAAATTGAATCGTTCAGCAGAACCAAGAGTTCACCCAACATATTCTGTTGGTATTTGTAAACTGTTTACAATCCGTTTTGGTTCTGGTGAACGTAGCCCATGATACCGTAGAATGACAAATGAATGACTTCTTGATCAAGAATTTTTCCTATTTGCGTTTTTAGCTCCTCTATTTGCACCTTCACGATTTTGAAACCATCAGTCTACACCATTTCCAACAGTATTTTAGAAAGCTTCAATAGGCTCGTTCAGTGAAAGGAGTAAGCATGACAGGATCATTAGTCAAAATGCCGTAAGTGTCATTATTAGATAGTGTCTACGACTTTGAGCCACATATTTGCCCTAAAGAAAAAACATAATTGTGCCTCTCACAAGAAAAAAGAGCCCCAATCTTAAATGGGATACCTTGGTTCGGAAACTTACTTGGAACCAACATTACAAAAGAGTAACCGACCAAGCAATAGCCACATACTGGACATGCCGCAAATTATTCAGCAAGTCTTGGGAGTCTAAAGCCAAAAATAATTTGCTATTTACAATGGCTATAAGACTCATGGTCACTCAAGCTGCAATAGTATGATGGCCAAGCGTAAAACAACAGTCTGCCCAAAACCGATTGTATAAAGGTATCTATGTCTTGGAATTCCAAGAGCAATGAACACCTGTCCGCCCGCCGCAATAAAGGTCATGTTGGGCCTTCCTCACTAGATATGAGGGAGCTTCGATGATAATAATACAGTCCCTATAACTGAAGGAAGGGAAAGAATCACCCTGCCTTGGATACCAGGGCACCAAGGAGTCGAGGGGAATGGAATAGCGGACCAACTTGCAAGACAAGGAGCTGCAACATCATTTCTTGGGCCAGAACCTTTTACGAAAAGCCATATATTAGGGGCAGTTCAGAACTGGGTAAAGGCTCAACAAGCCTCCCGTTGGAACGCGTTTCCAGGACTTGGACAGGCGAAATAACTGGAAGATTTAAATTGTTTCTGTTTCTTTCATGGATGTTGTTGTAGGCTACATACAATCTACAATTTCGGAAATGAAATTGCCAAAAAAATAGAATAATTCTTCTAAGTATACCTTGAAAAAGTTTTAGTTACATAACATCTCGTTGCCTTACTACAAAACACACATCGCCCTCGACTCGTGACTCAACTTGATAATACTTTTATACCTATACTGTATTTTTTTCCGAGATAGATTTTGACACTGTCAACTTTGAAACATTAACAATGTCGCTTATTGGTCGCAACATGTCATTTGCACGAAATGCATTGTAAAACTGATTCCAACCTGCAGGTACACGGCATCGTTATTGTTTATGTTTCAAAGCTTTCAATGTCAAAATCTATCTCGAGAAAAAATACACTTTAGAGTTGCAATTATAGTCCAGCAGGCGGCAAGTTCTTTCTGCTGGAAAGTATTCCGAAGTTAATGATATTTTGGTATGTCATTTGTGGGTAGTCTGTGGGGGTACACGTAATTTGGTTCCCAAGATAATGAGGGTTAGAAAAAAATATGTAACTTGGCTCCCGCAACTTTTCGTTTACCTGATTTTTATGTGTAAATTGGTTCCGGCTACCTGAAGTACTTAAGGTGGATTACCATAGGCAATAAAACAGACTAAGCAGTATTTACAATACTTATTAATAAGATGTAATAATCGATTAATTTCTTTTTTAGAATAAGATTTTATCATTTTTGGACAAAATCCTTTGGCGGTTTTTGACTTCAGTGTTATGTATTTTAGCTGGAATATGTACACTTTGTAATTTAACATACGTTTCCGTTTAAAATTTCTTGAGTTTTTTCAAAAAGATTAAGATATTGGGGTGAGTTTTATAAAAGGACGAATTAAAGTGTTTATGAAAAGATCCATAATTGGTGGTAGTGCGTGTAAGGTCAGCTGAATTCTGAGCCCAAACCAAAGGTGGAAAAGGTATTCTGATTCATAGTAATCTGTTAAATAATCTGAATATTTCTGTATATTTTTGTGCTATTGCGAGCAAATCAAAAACAAAGTAGTCGCCAACATCAGGAGGATTTAAAAAAGTCAGCCCAAAAGTCATTCGCAGCCATCTACCAACCTCAGAGTTTTCATTTTTATATTTGGGTACAAGGCCGCATTCCTGAATCTTTCTATACCAAGACTGGGAAAGATGAAACCGGCATCCAATTATTTTTACCAGAGGAAAACTTTGTCCGACAGCGTTATAAATTGCTTTTTCGAAATCTATAACGATTTTTGAAAATCTTAATACCAATATCGTCACACATCTTTATTATTAGATAAATTAAATAGTTTTTCATAGGTTTCTGTGCATTTATCCGGTCAACGAAAAAAATTACGTTAAAATATCCATGTAATGAGAAAAATTGATACTTAGTTATCAATAACCCAATAACTGCTTTCCATATTGTATACTCGGAATTATTTCGGGATTCATAATAGAAAATATTATTGGCAATTGACAAACTTCAAACACTAACAACACAAACTATTAATAACTACAACCAGATTGGTCTAGTAATCTTACTAACTTTTTACCTAAACCGTACACCCCACCACCAGGGACTTTATTCTCGAAATCGAGGAACAGAGTTCTCATGAGAACGATTACTCTGTTATTGCAGTGTTATGAAAATATTATGAATACGGACGACGAAGGCAGAACCTTCGTTCTCATGAGAACGCTGCTCCCCTGTTTCGAGAATAAAGTCCCAGGTACCTAATTAATATTCATTATTACCTGAGAACGAAATTTTCGGTTCAGTTTTTTGCTTATATTTTCTAAGCCATGTGTTTTAGCGGAATACATCCAGTTATAAAGTTGAAGAACATTAAATTTCCTTCAAATTTCACTAGTCAAACACGGTAAAACGTATTATTTAACGCAATAGTTACGTAAGTAAAGATACAGAAAAATTCTCAACTTTGTCAAAAATTGTTGAAGAAATTCAAATTTCCTTTAAATTTCACTGGCCAAAAATATTCGATCCAATAGTTACTGAGGTATATCTAGCGGTTCAAAAATTCAAGTTATTTTCTCAGATTATCAAAAATAGCATAGAAATGCAGGTTTGTGCCCTATAACTTAAATTTTGCGAACGTTTAATAGCATGTAATTTTCTAGTCCTAATTTGCACCTTATTCTTCATTCAGTATACCTACATGAAAATCATAACCTTGAAAGTAAACGTCAGGCGTCTGTGCTTCTAAATATCTTTGGTACAGATGACACCATCGTCTTTTTCCTCCCGAGCTATAACTTCAGGGCACATTAGACTGTGAGTGCACGTGAAAGAGACGAGGATAAAAGACGTTTATCCCATGCTTGGTTTGAATTATGTTCGAACGGGAAGAAATTTTTGACAAATAGAGATTTTTGAACCACTGCATCTTGGTTACTATTGCTTTTGACCAGTTAAATTTGAAGGAAATTTAATTTTTTTTAACTCTATAAATAGGTAAGTGTATTCCGCTAAAAGCGCATGGTTTAGAAGTTATAAGCAAAAACTAGACCTTTCGACTTCCCCCCAAGTTAGCACAGCCTCCTCGAAGTCAAAAACTTAGATTCTACTCCACAGACTATCAACAAACGACATGCCAAAATACCAATAATTTTAGAATACTTGCCAGCTGCCCCCTTTATTTATTACTTGCCTGCTGGCCTACTACATATTATTTGAATTTATCCATTACCGCACATTTTCAGGTTTATGATCATAGTTCAAATCGCAGAAAAAACTTTAAAAGATGCAGCAATACCCTTACTAGTTTGTCTGGTCTTTCAAATAGTGTACTTGATAGCTTTTTCCACTGCCGGTGCTCTGATGTTTGGATCAAACATTGAAGTAACTACTTATTTTGTTGTATACTGCTTCATAAAATCTAAATATATATTTTTTGTAGAATTTCAAAAACCTTCGTACATCTTTCATCACATTACTTTTACTTAGTATTGGATTCGCATCGATAGACAAAGCACAATTATCGCGGGAACCCTTGGGTATCGTATTTTACATGCTGTGTATGCTATTTACAATTTTTTTCTCCACCACTTATGTTACTATTATAAGTATATATTATGGGGAAGCGCAAGATTATTACGGCGACGAGCATGGATTTGTTCAACCATACTTATCAGAAAAATGGACCTATTATAAGACCCTATTGCTGGTAAGGTTTAGACAGTTAAGAGGTGGAGAAGGTAGGTATAACATGATTTACTAATGTGACTAAGCAAATTCATTTACATTTTTTATTAGATTCACCTAGCGAAGATTTGATTATAAAGCCTACCTCAGAAAGGTACGATGATTGTTATGTCATAGCAAAGAACCGTTTGGATGGAATGGCTTTCATATCAATGTGTGTCCTACGAAATTTAGAAGATAAGTCCAATTTTGGTAATGAGGATTTTGAACTAATGTCAAAAATGGTATGTTTCTTCAAAATTCTTTGGGTTATGGCATTTTGCGATGATAATAATTTTTCCAGGTAAAATCATTATTTAGTGAAGAATCCTCTAAAAAAGAAATATTTTTTGCTATCCGTGATAAACATCAGATTAAATTGATTGATGATAGAAAAATCACTCAAATAGCAAATATTTGCGAAGAATTCATCAAGCAATGTACAGTAAGCTATTCAAGGATTGCTAGAAAATATCAGAAACTTTGGATTGAAGAGAGGATTTCAAGAATAAATAATCTTATTGATAATGTGAAACTGATTGAGGGGGTTTTGAATAATATTGAATTTAATCAAATATAAATTTAAATTTTATTAATTTGCTCTATAATTTCATCAAAATCCTTAGGATCAAATTCTGTTGAGTCTGATTTATAATCGTTTGGATCAGGCATCGAATCTGATTTGGCAGGTATTGGACCAGTCACAAAAAAGTGGTGTGCGAGACACTAAAACATAAAATTTTACCAAACAAAATTAAATTAAACTTACATTTACATACTTGTTTGGCAGACAATCTTTTTTTGCTGTTATAAATAATAATTTTTCTAAGCAAATCCATTGTAGATGCATCAGCACTAGGTAAAATAAGCATCCATGGTTTACTAGGACTGGATACAAATGAAATTTTATTGTAATCTGGTAGTTCTTTCAAATCGGGCCAATTTTCATCAGTAGGCGAGCCCAAAGTGCTTAACACAATAGCTAGTTGTTCAATATCGGTTTCACCCTAAAAATACATCATCGCTACATTTTGTATTTAAAAAACAAAGAATATTTACCGGAAATAAAGGAGCATTATTTATCATTTCTGCAATAATACATCCTACAGACCAAATATCTACAGACGGAGTATAATTTCTAGCCCCATAAAGTAACTCTGGAGCTCTATACCATCTGGTAGCAACTTGATGAGAGTATTGTCTTGCTGAGTCTAGCTCATTGTAAATTCTGGCCAATCCAAAGTCAGCAATTTTTAGAACTTTTTTGGGTGATATCATAAGATTGGCTGGTTTAATATCCTGTAATACATTATTTTGAATAGAACAATGTTAATAAAAAAAGTCTTACCCTGTGCATGATATGATTTTTGTGCATGAATTCAACTCCTTTCAGCAGCATTTTTGAATAGGTTTTTATCTGGGATAAATTTAGATCCGTTTTCTTCAAAACCTCTTGCAAATTGCAAGGCAAATATTCCATGACTAGAACTACAGAACTACCCATGCTTGTGACATCAAACAATCTGACAATCTAAAATCATTTATAATGTTGTAGAGTGTGAGATTTTTTTTTACATTAACTTACATTTCTAGCCTTCAAAACCCTTAAAGAGCATATTTCTCTTAGTGTGTTTTTTGGAATCCCCGCTTCAATATTTACGAATATTTTTTTCAATGCCACCACTTTGTTGGTTCCTATTTCTAATCCTCGGTATACGTATCCATGAGCCCCTTCGCCGGATTTTTCCGTTATTTTGTAAGTTTTCATTTGCTATCAATTTTAAACATAAACATCAACTAACAGAAACATCTTGTCAAAATAAAGTTTTGTTTGTGTTTGTCTGTTGTTTCCAATAGCAACCCAGTAAGGTGAATTTAGGGTCGATAATGAACACATAACGAAGAGCTGTTTCAGTTGACTGACCCGGGGCCATTTTTACAACCTGAAAAGTTGAGTTTGGTTGAAAAGCAGAAATTTCCAGGGTTAATTTTGTGATCGACGTTAAGTTGCTATGTTTAAGGTAGGTACCATCGTCACCAAAAGTATCTGGGACAAAAATAATGCCCAATAATCTCCTGGACTAATTCTACCGTCATTCATTTCAATGCATTTAATTCATAGTTTGACAAATATTTGACAATGAAATTCATATAATAGTACAAGAGCCAATATTTTGGTGACGATGGTACCTATTCAGCATAAAGTGGTGTAATTAAACAATCAAAACTGTCTTCGGTGTATTTCAAGAAAACAGTTAAACTTTCTGGGGAAAGATAATCACTAGTCAAAGACTTTATATCTGAATTTGCAGTTAATATATGGCCATTATAAGGTTATAGAAGTCAATTAAAATTAACTGAATGATGGATAGTGGTGCAAAGGAGTACGTCTTTCGAGCGAGAAAATCAGAGTTGATAATAGTTCACTAGTAGGTATGAGTTGAAAGAGTCGATACTGTACAAGTGGAGGCATCAATGGTAGCAGCTGGTTGAAAACAAACCTGAACAAGGTGTTGTTTGTACTCGAAATGGCCGGTAATTTACTTCCAATGAGTACAGCTCTCCGTGAAGGATATAAAAATTATACGATGCACTCAGACAAAGATGGGATATGAAATAAAGACGGCGAGAAAAGTGTGTTGAAAGAGAAGGAAATTTGTTTAAAATGAAGTTTAGAATCGAGGTCTTAATGTAATATTGATTGAGTTTAAAATATTGGCAATCACATTTTGAGAAAATAAAAAATAATAATTATGTAGTTACCTAATATTGAGTTTGGACAAGATAAACAGCCTTTCGATCCAGAATTTTTAGAAGGAGAACAACAGAAATTTCCTGGAAGTCTAGTAAAAGTTACATGTGAAATATATGGATATATTATGTGTGGTCCTTTAGAGGTAGAACCTATGGGAGGTGAACAGTTACATCATTGCAACGTTCAATTTTTTGATAGTTGATAGTCGACAGTAAGTCTATCCTCACAGAAATGACAAACCCGTCAGAGCGAATTTGATTGGTTGAAAATAGTCAGAAAACTGGTCGTTGGAGATTTGCACCAATCGAAAACCCTCTGACTAATTTGTGATTTCTGTGAGAACAGACCTTACGACATAAAGTCTATTTTTTTTTTAAAGATAATTCCCCATGTCAAAAATTTAGTAACTATGTTGGCAATACAAGCCTTTTCTACATAAAAAAATTGAAAGCATTGACAATTTTACATTGTATTGCCAACATAATGTCATTTTGACTTTTATCTTAAAAAAAAAACACATTTTACATGTCTGTTGTTTTTAAACTGACACTCTCCGTATGAGGAGCGAGGAGGTGAAGCATATGGCAAAAACAGGTGTGAGGTCAGGTGATCATTGGCGATCTAACGTAGGGAGCCACCAGCTCACATTCTTTTGGAGTATGAGAATAAAATCGACGGACTCTATATGACTCCGCCCCTTTCAAGACAGAATTAGTATCTCTGGAATGAATGAATAATAAGAAAATGATTATAAAAACAAACCCATGCTTCAAAAATTCAAATTGAAATCATTATCATGGAAAATCTTTATCTGGATCATGGAAGATGACACCTTGTTTCCCGAAGCCACTCGCACTGCGGCCGAGCAAACACTCAATGATTCTATGTTTTTTTATGGAACTAGAGCAACTGGAAAGCATTAAAAATGGCAACAATAGGAGTCTCGATTTAATTTTTGCCAGTGGAGTGGATTCCCATTGCTAAAAAAAAAAGTTTCGCCGCCCCTTTGTACTGTGGTCGATATCCACCCACGACTAGAACTTGAGTTTAAATATAAGGGTCGAAAAAATATGACATATACTAATCCCATCAGTGTTTATCTTTTCAAAAAAGCAAACTATGCACAACTGAACGAGTTTTTAAACAACATTAACTGGGTGAACTAAGGAAACTAATCGGTCATAAGAATAAACTGTACAAGAAGTATAGGAGACCGTGGTCAGGATCAGATTACAGAGCCTACTCCATCGCAAGACGCAATGTTAGGTATCATACAGACATGTGTTACCTGCTTCATGTAACCAAGACTCAACACTTGATATCATCAAACGTTAAGCATTTCTGGTCTTACATCAAGTCACTTAGAAGGGATGCATGTCTGCCATTCCAGAAGCAACTCGATTATATAAAATTTTCTGATCCGGGACAAATTGCCGGACTATTCGCCAAACACCTCAAAAGCTGTTTTTTTGATCATACTGACGTGCATCACTTCGTCGATATTGGAGCAAACTTGTCAGATCGTGCGTTCACGGCTGGAGAAATAAAGGAGAAAATCCTGAATTTGGACATTTCCAAGAGTACGGGATCCGACGGACTATCACCTATATTTTTAAAAGAGTGGTGCTCATCATTATTAAACCCCCTTAAATAACTGTTCCAGCTTTATTTCGACACAGGAATTTTTCCTACAACATGGAAAATATTAAATCTCATCCATATATAATGTAAATCCGGAGAACATACCAACATTAAAAAATATGGCGGGATATCTCTTTTATCCCATATTCCCAAAATAATGGAATCCATACTGACTGACGAAATTATCTCCTGCTACAAGTATTACATCGCTGATAAACAACATGGTTTCTGCCAAGGAAAATCGACGGCTACAAACTTGGCCTGTTATCAACAAGCCCTAACTGTTGCTTTGGAGTCAGGGAAGCAAGTTGACATCATATATATAGATTTTGAAATGAGGTATCACTTGACCACTATTGCCATTTGAGATTTAAGGGTTGGAGCTTACCCCCTCGAGAGGGTTGAAGTGACAACATTGAAATATGTGCAAAAGATTTCCCCCTCCGAATGAAAATCGACGGGTCCTAGCGATTTTTTTCAATGAACGATGAATACGAGATATCGGCCTTGTTTCGTTTTCATTGGCCCACCCGGTATATATTCTGATTTCTGAATCATAAAAAGAGAACTTTAAGAATTTGAAAGAAAATAAAGTGCATTCCATTTGAAAAAAGTGAACGACATATTTTTTACTTTGCGTCGCTCATTTGTTCAATCTAATTAAAAATTCTTGCGGTTCAGATAAAATTCTACAACTTTTGTATTTACACCTTTTACCTATCACCTGTAATTACGGCTGCAGGTGGGTGTCAAAATATAGTGACTCACCCTATACATATATAAATATGTATTTTGATAATACGATTAATATGAATAATTTATCTTATTTTTTATTTTCCTCAATGTAATACAATACACTATACACCCTATGAAACATTTTTCGCCTTCAAGCGGAGGGATCAACAGAGTGGAAGAGATTCCATACGTATCAACACAGAAAGATCCATAGCGAGTCGAGAAACTCGGCGATCAGATCTTGCTATCCCATAAATCGTTGACATCTCTTGTTATTTATTGTTATATCTTTGTTAATTTAGAAGCAAAGAATATGCGGTTTGCACTGTTATTTGGTCAATACAGGAGCGAAACTTTTATAAAGATTTGATTTTTTTTTTTCATTTAGGCCTTCGTTTTCGTTAAATGAAAGGTATATTTAAAGAAGATGATTTTTAACAAAATTTTTGCACGGTTGAAACCCAGATACTTACGTTTAAAGTTTTTTTCAGCCATAAGAGCTAATGGTAATAATTTTTTTTGAATGATTATAAAAAAATACTCCCTACAAAGACCTTATTGTGTATTGGACCAATAATGAAGTATTTTTCTCTCTATACGGTGGTATCAATATCTCGATTTTTGATGATTATACAACTCACTGTACATTTTTCCCATATGACACGAGAGGCTTAATAGGTGATAAGCCTTGTGGGATTATCGCGCTTGGTGGCAATATTGTTCATTTGCTATTAATAATAATAAAAATTAATAAATTATTAAAGTTTAGTTCGTTGTATAACCTTTCGAATACCACTCGCTGTTTCAGGATTACCTAATACTTTTACCTGACACTCAACACGTTACCAGCAACACCACTCCTCCTTCGGAGTCGTGGTGTTGCTGCGTAACGCGTTTCGTGACAGGTAAAAGTATTATTCGGTAATCCTGAAACCTCTTGTGGTATTACATTCGATAATGCCCTTTTGCGCAGTCTAATTTTGTATCACCTCCGGAATAAGGCTTACCTTATTGTAATGACCCGGGAAAAATGGACCAGTAATTTACAATGTCTTAAGGGTATTGAATGCGCCGTTTAAAATATATTGTAACGCACGTCGAACTATACAACTACCCAACAAGTTAATACTAATAAAGATGCGAGGTTCGTCGCGATCATTGCATTGGGCTACTGTTGGGCCGGTTGGCGCTGGATCATTCATGCGGGCGATTTGAAATGTATCGCAAAACAGGCGGAGGAAAGAGCCATAGGGTTTCCTGCGGGTATAACAGAGACAGACAAAATGACAAGAAGAATTAATTAAATTTCTACAAAAAAAACTAGATAATTTTTGGGATTCTGGTTTGTGCTATCGTATTGCTAACACACATAAGATTGGCGCTTGTTAAAAAAACCACCATAAATTGATCAACTTTCTTGTTTTTTTCCAGTTTAAATTACATTTTTGTAACTTTTCGAGAACTTGCTTCTGGTACCGGATTTCTAAAAAAATTGCGCCATTCGTCCCTATATTATAAATCAAATGCAAAAAAGAAATTTGATATAACTTCAACTGTTAAAAAGTTACGTTGAAATTAAGAACTCAATGCATTCCTTGTTTCATTCGTCTCATTCCCACTAAGGAGTAATAATAGGGGAGGAAGAATACAATGATAGACTGCGTAAGGTGCTT